GAAATTTGAAAAGCCATTTGACGGCTGATTAGTTGACATCTACGATGATCAGTGTTTCAGAAACCGAGCGTGAGACCCATGAGTCACATTAAAGCGATAATTTATTTTTTAGCTAAACAACTACATCTCACAGCCTTTTCATAGGCCACTTTGGATATCATTTAAGTCACCCGTAATGTTAACATCAATCACTTGGACAGATTGGTAAGTTTTTTTTTAAAGTATTTTAGGTACTCTGTCTGAAATCTCTGCGCCCGCAAATCTCGACGGTCTCTATATTTCTGTCTTAGCCGTGTCGGTGTACCAACTTTGAAAAGACAATTATAAAATAATGATAAAACGGGAAAACACTGAAAGTGTAAACGCGATTATCGGCCATCGAGATTCAATTGATTATTATCGATACGTTCGGCAGAGGCAGCCCTACTAGGGAGTCACAGCGACGGATAGTTTTATAAATACAATGTGACTCAAAACCGAATGAATGGAGCACTTGTATCGGTTCGGGGAATTGTGAAAATGACCGCATACCGACAGGGGGCGGACATTATAATGGTTGTATTTCCCCGTTTCGGACGTCGCCCCGCAAACGTGCGGGGGCGTATAATAAACTGCCAAACGCATCGCCGATAATACTACTAGTACATACGTACTACTAGAACGATAATAATACGAGTGTCAATTAACTCATATCTATAGTACGTTGTGCGACGAACCAATTCGCCTAGGGGATAGTTTACCCGTCTCTTGCGCAAGACGGTGCAGGTTTGATCCTTGCTATTGGAAAAGTATTGTGTGAGGGTCGTAGTGTTTTTCTAGTATCCGGGTGGTATATAGTGATCGTGAAATTGCGTTCGAGTATGTATGTATGTACGTATGTCTGCCAACCCATCTGACAGAAAATTATCAATGTAGAAGAAGTATATTAACAGAATTATTTAGCATATGGGTGTAGATAAAAATAAGACAAGAAGAGAACAATATCCCAGCTAAAAATATCATTTTGTTCTAGACTTAATATTAATGTTAATTAAGTACCGTAGTAGCGTATCAAACATTCGAAAAATTCTGTTTATGAATCACTTAACCACAAATGTCATCGCTTTTATACGCATTCAGCCGCTTTGTTATACTCAAGTTTACTATTTTCGTTCACAGATCAAAGCCGCCCGTGTCTGGATGTAACGTAACGAGTGAGTTGTCAATAGACCGTTGCATTCAACCGTTTATAAAACGTTGTCGTCGCCTTCGCGTCGTTCCACCGTTTCGAGGCGTTTTAGTAGTTTCATTCGACGTTTTAACGCAGTCGCTGACACAATTAGCTCTTGTCGAATGATTAACGACCAGTTTATTGTTAATGGAAACTGATAGAGTGCGTTATGTAATTATGCGACTAATAATATTTGCTTATCTCCGCATCGACTGCTACAATGTAGTTCAGCTTAATTGTAATATTGCATCGTTTTGACCTTTGATGCTCACGATAAAGACACTTAACGCACAGAATTGTAATTGTGTATAGTAAATACGGGCTATGCTCGGTGTTTCTCTGCGTGATAGAGTTAGCAAAGAAGATATCCGCAGTAGAACAAAGTTTATCACCATAGCTCAGAAGTTTAGTGGGCTAAAGTGCGAGCCATATAGCTCGTAGAACCGATAATCGATGCGGAAGAAAGGTTCTGGCAGCTTCGTCCTAGCCATCGCAGCGTAGGACGACGCTGACTAGATGGAATGACGACCTGTGCAAATGTTCGGGAAGTCTATGGATGCAGGTGGCTCAGAATCGTACATCGAGCAAGTCTGTCGGGGACTGTGGAACTCTAACAGGCTTGTTGAATAGCTAGAGCCGAGCTAGTTTTTGACTCCTAGTATTCAATTTTATTTTGTTGAAGTTTGCAGAAAACGTGTACATTCCACGCACACAACCATAATACACATTCAGACTGTGAACGAAGTTATTTCAGGATTCTGGCTTTAATTTCGTAGTGTAGTTCGGTAAGGTTTATTTCCAACGCTAATATGATTCTCAGAAAATATAATTCGACGTTACTTTTGAACCGTTCGATGGGAAGAAAATTATGCTGATGACAGACGTGTTAAGGTGGGCGGTAGCTGTTTATACACCTTAACGGTTCAACCACCCCTGTTGTTGTGGGTGTGTAAGTCTATTGTTATTGGCGGTTAATGAATATCGAGAGTAATAATGACGGCTCGCTTATTCCGGATAGTACTTAATATTATTTAATTTAATGAAGGTTTGGTAAATACATTTACAGGCTGGACTCTGGAGTAGGCAATCACGCTCACTGTGATGGAATAGTTTGTCTGTTGTAAGTTGGCATCGACTTACATCGAGGCTGTAAACGATGACGAAGTTGGAATAGCTTTCTATCATTGCCACATTCTATTCTGACATCTTTTTTTTAATTCATATAATCATCGCAAACTGAACATTACACTCACATTACAGACTAATGGACACAAATACAGATGATACGTAACTTAAAAAGCAAGTGAATGTTCTTCTATGAGCGAACACAAGATGCGCAAAAAAACATTCTCAACAATAAATATTGATATCATCTTGTACATTATATTTACTTAAACACCGTAATAGCTCACTGTCGGCGCGCTCGCTTTTAATTCAATGTACTCGAGCGACCTGAGTTCGATCTCCGGTACCGGCAGCAAATGAAATTTTAAGTGATATGTCATCACGTTTACAGCTGTGAAGCGAAACATCGTGTAGAAACGTGGTGCATATTTTCGAAATATAAACAAAATAAAATGTTTCGAAGATATGTCAAGTTCGCCAATCAGCATTGGGGTATATAACGTCGCTAAAATCTCGCCGTCTTACCGCTTTTTATTTCATTTTCATAAATTATAGCCAATATTGAAAGACGCCCTATATTCAGTAATAGCTAAGCTATACCTTACCTAGAATGTGGTGTTCCGAGTCAGGTTAGTCCCTGTTTAGACCTACAGCGAATCAATCCCTTGTGGTGCATCTCATGGCATACTTCTAAAGCCCAGAGCACCGGATATGACGTAAACTTATCAGTATCATCCGAAGTCGGGTTGATAGGAGTGACCTCGCTTCCGCCCTCCGATCCCCGATACAGAGATAGCGTTACATGTAGCAGCATTATGTTTTGTGACCTCCGCCGTCGGGGCACATTAAAAGTGACCTTCGGTGTAACAGGAGCGATGAATTACCGAAACTTATGAATAGATGGTATCTGAGCTAGTTCGTTCGCCATGTAAGATTACGTCTTTTCTTACCATGAGGTGATATAGTAAAGTAAAACAATGACCGGTTTTTGGATATAAATAAATAGCATGGCGTGTTCGAAAAATGAATAGTATCATAACACTCTTCGATTCAACGAGTAAGCTGATAAGGATACTTATCATCATTAACACTTCAGCCTGATTTATCTCCTCCCCCACACACTGCCATGAGAGGATGCCACGATCCTGATCGACTTGACATCGACTTCCCGAAAATTTACACAGGTTGTCACTCCATCTAGTGTTGGTCGACTGCAATGGCCACTACGAGGAAGCCACCAGCGACAAGAGGCTGGTAATATGTATATTAAGTAATAGACTCGCCGTGTTATTGTTTCACCTCGCGTCAAATCTTCAATTGCCTCCTCCGTGGCATGGTCAGTTTTGCCCGAGTCGATTCCCTTCTTCCGTCTCATGTCTGGCGCCGTCATTCGCTTTCACGTCGGCCCTCCGTCATTACACAGCGTCCCCGAGCTTCCCAAATAAATTAAAAACCCATAAGACAGTTTTTGTGTTGCGCGGGAAGCGACCGATTCATTCTGTCGTATTAATGACCCGGTGTGACAGTCGACGGGTCGATTTTTGGGGTACCGCTTGTGTCGCTCGAACGTATAGGAATCCTATTATTTTATAACGGGGTTCTTGACTATTATACGAACCCGATTGTTGGTCCATTTGTATTTTATGTATATGTATACAATACAAGAAGGTATTAAATGCCAGCTAATAGAATGTGGCAATGATAGAAAGGGCGTTGTAAGGGGGAGGCCTATGTTCAAAGGTGGATGTCTTACGGCTGATGATGATGATGATAGAAAGCTATTTCAATGTTCTCACCACTTTTGTAAATTCGAATGGAAGTCGATGCCAACTGAAAACTGAAAATCCGTCCAGTGACAGTGAGCATCTTTGCCCACTTCCAGCCGGTCCACTTTTACTTAGCAAAGCTTTATTTAGTTTAAAAAATAGTGACTATCGATAGATGAAATGTATGTTTTCTTGATTTGATTTATAACTGCAGCCACACGATACGACTTCCTCAACTAGAAACTGGACAAAATTTGCCAACGGAAATAATATCAACAATGAGAACACACTAACACTTTTGTGTCTTTCAAACGACAATTACAAAGGCGTAAGTAAACTTAAACGAAATATTCGTTTGGTTTGTTTTTCAATTTTACGTAATACAGATGATTACTATACAGTGTTGGTATTCATACATTCTGACATGATAACAAATAATTGCTTTATTCATAACTCAGTACTTGAAAAATTATTATCAATACAAAAGGTTCTTGAATTATTTTTAAGTTCATTTAGCCATGTGGCCGTTATGCATTTTTTAAACTTCTATAAATGGAAACATTTTTATAATCTTGTTCAGTGGATACTAAAAATAGTGTTATAGAAGCCGGTGTGGTTAATAAACAAAAAAAGGAGACAAATGTATTGTTAGATAGTTTACGTCCAATCTTCTCGTCAGTACATAAGAAACAAAATATTATAAATCAATCGTATATATCTTTTCCTTCTCAAGTATTCTGCCATGAACGGTACTCGGAGTGGAAAAGTTTACCCGTAAAAACGACGTATTTCATTTAACGTAAAAATACAAAATGCGGAATCCGTCTACGAACCCGCTACCTTTGTGGCCCCACCTCTCACTTCGCACGTTGCGTAATAAGTGCCGCGTCGTAAGATTACGCCGTTGCTTGAAAATAATTACGCGACATTACCGCATCGGAACGTCGTAGGGGGCCGTGGTGATAAGCCGCGGACGCCTCTGGCCTCGAGGAAGCTGATTTCTCCTCAGCCTCGCCAATCATCAACGTCGTCGTCGCGTGACAGTCCGCACCGAGAGTTGTGCAATTGATGGAGGCGATGCAGAACGCTGGGGAGAGTTTATCACGCGATAGACTGTAAAGGAAGTCACAGTGTGGATTTAGTCGTGTTCAATTTCGACTTAACTTCCGACCATTTTGTATACCAACTGTATCAGTACCGTATCAGTTTTATTTATTTTGTGGGCACGGAAAGTACTCGATGAGGGGCATGTAACTCACATTTTACCGAACGAAAATAATGATAAACATGGATGTTATCAATTATTTTAGTAATTTCATAAAAAAAATTCTATTTCGTAATTATTGTTATTATTATTATTTTCTGTTTTAAGTAAAAATCTTATTAATTTTCTAACAAAGTGATTGTAGCGAGCACAGCTATTATTCAAATGTCAAAAAATGAATCCTCGAGTTCTTGTTTAATATACTTTACAAAGCATATTTATAAGTTGGCTTAATAAAAATAGCCTATAAATAATTTACGAACGGCGTTGTTCCGGCGGGATCTTGATGTCGAAGGTGCGCCGAGTGCGCTCCCGCCCTAACCGGCCAACCGGGCAGCCTTGTGATAGTTTCCACAGCGGCGGCGTCCACTTTCGTCCGGCTTATTTCGGGCGAACTATTCATACACGGCCCGATTGCCTTAGCCCCCCCCCCCCCCCCTCGTCGTAAATTCCCCGCCCGTATTTTAGGGTCGCATTAAAAAACTCCACGGCCTCTCCGCGCGATAAATTCTTTCAGGCAACGCGTCGGAAGACGTTCGCCCGTCGAACGGAATTCGATTCGAAATCTTTTGATTTGCGAAGGACTGATGTGTACGGAGGATTCGTGTTGTTAGAGAACTACAACTTGATTGCGCCGTGAAAGGTCGGCAGACTATTTTTTTTAAGATTTCATTTGTCTTCTGCTTTTGAACCTTGCGGTTATCGGCCGTTGAAGGAACAGCTGTTAGGCTGTGTTTAGAATTATTAATGTCATCCATTTCAGGTCAGTAGGAAGGAATATTTTGGACGCTAGATGCAGCATGCGTACTTTTCGAGTCGTGTTTGTATTACTCATCGTTTAGGAATTCAAGTCTGTTTCCGCCATGAGACTTGAGACGTCTAGCCAGACCGTTCATGGTTTTTGATCTCAATTGAGTCACGCGGATTGCGAGAATCGTTACGGGTTTTGCACATATGATTCTTTCCGCTGTCTTTAAGTACACTATCGTATCTAAAAATTGCGACTTTATAGGATGATCGTTTGATTCAAGTGTTTTTTGCAATATATTTTAAATAATAGGCTCTGACAACAATTTATGATCATGAAAAATCTGAAAATTCAGATTGTTTCGAACAAGACTATAATTATAATTAGATATAAAAACACGTTAATGTGTTTTCACGTTCGTGAATATTATATTTGTTTATTTACTTTTCGAATTTAACATATATCGGATCTGCTTATTGGCCCATACGAAATCTGCTTATGCAATACATTCTGTTTCTATTGCATAAACGCGCATACCTCACAAATCAATACAATCTCGCCATACTGTCTAGAGTGAGGCTTGAAAAATTGGAGACGCTCCAATCGTTAAAAAGTGCCTCAATTGTCACCGCATGTGCACAAAACGCGCTCGAACGGAATCGTTAAAGCGAGCACATCTCCTGCGGGGTCGTCGGTTCATTACGAGACCAGCAACGACCCTCGACTCTGACACTCCAATGCTGCGAGCGCCAGCCAGACTCCGGCGCTAACAACCGCTTGTTCAGACATGCAGTTCTCGTAGGTCGTTAGATTTTGGCAAGTCTGAAGGCGTTATGTCCCAACAATCTCTCCCGCATTACGATTTTGTAACTCGTCAGATTTTAACAATACTGCAGACCAGTAAGGACTTAATGGTTCGCTTTGCGTAAACGGGATGTGTTAAAACCGTAGTCCTTATATCACATTTTTTTTATCCACAAAAATTTTATGAGTGTACTATAATATAAAAAATATGCTATACAGTATATATACACTTTGGATTATACGTCCAATTATTAATTGTATTTCCGGAAAAATGTTTTCAATTAAATTTATCATAGTTGCAAGTTGCAACTAAGACAAAATCCACTATTCAAAAATCCACATTTCGAACAGAAATTACTTTCTCACTTATGTGTTTGTTATTATTGGACGTAACCACCCGCTCGTGGATTTGTCAAGAGAGCAGAATTACAGGAAAATCTCTATCAACATGTGCGTGAACTATATGCGAAAATACTTCGAAATCGTACGTGCGGTATTGCATTTAGACGCAAAAAGGTGCCGGCTGAGAGATTGATTACAGGCGTAGTGATCGGAGACATCGACTCACAATTCGGTGACGCGGGTTTGAATTTCGTTTACGAGCACGTTCCTCTTTTAAATTTAAGAACGAAGCTCACGCTCTCGGTTTTAGTTCCGTCAACGAGAAACTGTTTATTAAAGTTTACTTTATTAACGGTTATTTAAAAAGAAAATAGTATTAGTAAGTTCTTTTAAACCTTGCCCTTACTGTGGGATAACATTATCCTGTGCTGTAAGGACGTTTCACCTACATATATATTCCACGCAGATAGACACCCAAATCGGAAAAAAATATTTGCGGGTCAAGGTATAGTTGTCCCTATTGGGAATGAAACCCACGACCCGCGACACCGAAGGCAATATCCTTACAACTGCTACAAGGAGGCATCAAAAAAATTACGAAATAAAAGTCCCACGTAAATTTTATTTCTTAGCGTAGTGCATCGCTTTCTGCTACGAGAAAAGGTCACCTATCTACGCGTCAGGTCCGGGTGCAATATTCGCGACCCTAGCATACATGGTGTCCCATTTAAACACTTAAATTGTCGAGCTCGGGCCTTGAAAACGTACCGGCGTCTTCCTGTTGCGAATTCTATCGCGCGTTAACCAAAGATGAATGGAGTCGCGGTGAGTCATGGCTTGTCGACTCCACGATGCGGACTATGGACCGACCCCACTCAGAGACCGGCTGCTCGAAACATGTTTTTCGATGACCACGTTTCTCTTCTCGGAACTGGATTGATTTTGGTCTTTTTGCATTATGTGGAATGCGTGTTCTGTGTTGTTATCTATAAAATTATATTTGCCTGCTACGTTTTCCCCAGTAGATAAATTGAAAACCATGACCACTACTAGATAATAATAGTGTTAAGTAATAATATGTCTTGTAGGTGTATTCACAACTTTTATTTACACCTCCATATGATACAATCATTTGCAAATACAATTCAGATACTCTTGAGTTCATTTCTCTTACAGGCTAAAAGAACCCACGGTCAAATTATTTCGCTTGGAAATTGTTCTTACCACCATCCAAAGCCATCAAAAATTCCTACCATACATTAGCCAACTTTTTTATTTTCTTACTAGGAAATCACTAACCAATTAGTTTAATAAACTTTCGTGTTTTATCTTTTGTTATTTAGGAGCCTTGCGGCGTGGTCTAAGTTATGACCACTATCAAAAAGGTGTCGTCAAGGTGGTCACAGCAAATGTTTTTTGTACCATTTGATAAAAGAATAGACTGTCTTCCCGAAGGTACTCAATCGTTTATGCGCAATCCGTTGCAATAGAGTGCTTGCTGTACCAAATCATCCTTCCGTTAAGCATATACGATCATCTTTTTACTTATGACACAGATAGCGCGTCTTATTCTTAACTACGTTGATTTTTTCTACGTATTGTATTATACAGTTACATATTTTACAATACTGTTAACTGTCCGTGTCCAGTTATGAATGTGCATAATCAAGACACAATTCTTTAAAATATGGTACGTTTTTCCATTTTGAAATATAATATATTATGTCGCTTTGCCCCATCATACTGTAACTTGTTGCCAAAATCGAGTATCTGTGCGGCCGTAGTCGCACGGCATCCGCTGCGCTCTCCGGTCCATGGGAATCCTAGGCCGGAACTGGTTCGAGCCAGTTCGGACCGGTTACGGGCGGGCTCTCCGTTCATCTCCCGTTGGCGCGGCGTCTCGCGGCCCGTCGGCCGCAGGTGTCGTACCGGCGACGGCTCATTGTCCCGGGACAATGCTGGACCGCCGTTCGCCTCGCCGCGGCCCTTGCTCGCGCAAATCGGACCCTGCGCATTGGCCACACGGCTTCTTATCGCGCGCTGCGCCGCCACGGCACCACGAATGCCGGATGGGAAGACGAGACGGCCGCGCAATTCGGCGGCACGGCACAATGCGGCACACAATAATAATCGCGACGGGAGTAATTGCGGCGACGTCCGGTCGGCGGATCGCGGCTCCGTGCGAAAGTCTCGCCGGGGATGAGGACACAGGGAGGGGCTGACGAGGGATGGAGGGGGGGGGGGGGGGAGTTGGGTTCTTGTTACCCGCCCGGACCTATGCGGCGCTCCGTGTTGACTTAGGCCCAGCGCGAATTTATCGTTGGGAACGCGATCGGGCGTATGTATGGCGGCTGACAAAAGATTCAATCTGCTCTCTAAGCGATGGAAGGAATAAACGTGTGTTTTAGCGAGGAGCCGACTGCCGCGGCATTGTTGGGAAATCAAAGCGATTGATTAATATTCCATCGATCGACCCTCGACCGCCTCCAGTTGAATGCTCTATTTATATATTCCTAATGAATTAAACCACGTCAAATTAATTATGTAGTGTATGAATGAATAACTGTAAGATTTCCAAAGGTTATCTTCTTGAAAAATTAAGTAGCCTTGAAACCTGATACGCAATTGTTTTCTTGGTGCTATTTAAAAAAACTTAAATCCTGATTTCGGTACCAATGGAATTGTCATTGGAAAATTGCAATTTAACTGCTGACTCGTTACGTCGTCAGCAGCTAAGGACACATCGTGAGGAAACCTTAATATTTTGGAAATAATAACAGAAGAGAAATATTTCGAACATATGTGAAGTCTGCCGGTCCGCAGTGGTGTAGCGTGGTGGACTGTGCCCCGATTACAGACACAGAGGTATTTGCTCAGATATGGGACATGTATAGACAGATAATCTAGCTGCCAGAGAAGACAACATCGAAGATCTATCAAAATCTACTGGAAAGGGCAACGCACTTCACTGCTTCCGTAGAAACTCTTTGCTATTTCGTCATTTTATTTGTTTATTTCACATGTAATCTAGGCAGTCGCCATTATCTTAAGGATTTTCATCAGATTCCACGGGGTATCCAATGTGAGATCATTGCTCGGGTCACGCTGATGTTAATAAGCTGATTCATAAGGTTTATTATGGAATAACTTGATATGTCGACAACGGGAACATGAAAAAAAAAACCTGTTCAAATTCAATGGTACCACTCGACTAAGAAACGGATATCTTCCGTTTACAATTCGAAAACGGGTTCGCGCACCATGTGTATAATTTGTCACACCGTGTGTAGCGAAGTTCGGAAAAAAAAACTAAACTAAACGATTCGCTGGAACGGGGGCGTGGGAGAACTCGCCGGATATCCTCCGCCCGCGATGTATCAATGTTTTTTTTTAATTCAGAAGGGTTAAGGATCCCCGACATTGTGCCTTTGATACAACTTTTGATATGGGCGCCACCATTTCAAGATGCAATTTAATTCAGAAAAGTTTGAAGCTCTCAAATTAATCGGGTTTACAGTGATGTGTTACTATGATGGATCTTTGAGGACTTTATGACATAAAATATTTTTTTTAGGTTCCACTGCGTAGACTTTAGTATAGTTAAAGTAATACAAGATAAGGTTTGCGTTATAGTAAACAGTAACATCTATAATTTTGGTTAAAGACATTATGATGTTTTATTTAGACAATTATCAAGGTCGATGATTGATGTAAATAATGGTTTATCCAAGATGGCGCTCTCGTTTCACACGATGTTTTTTTTGTCAACCGTGACACATTAAATAGTAAAATTATTTCGACACAAATGGATTCCATTTTCTTTACTATTCCGCCCCTAATTAAGCGGGGTTTTTTGCTCGCGGAGCATCGCTGGGCGCCCTTTCGCTCGACGGCGTCACAAAAACCGTGGCTACGTGTAAAAAAAGGGGCTGTAAAAAATACCCGAACCATCTACAACTATCGGTGTACAGACAGACGAGCGGAGATGAAAGATTCAATCACGAACCGCGCCGCTTCCGAGAAGACGCGGCGGTTCCGTTTTTTTCTTGCTAGCCTCGCACAGATTCTGGGTCCTGTACGCCGCGCCGCGAAACCCTCTCGGCTCCTACGACAGAACACTCATCTCTAGCCGCGTTGCATCCCTCAAACGTCCACCTGCGAGCGTGAAATTGCATTTGTTCACGATTAAATAGAAATGTTATGAACCAAACTCTGAATGGATTGTCTCGTTTCGGCAATAAACCCAAAGTCGTTTGAAGTTTCGCAGTGCGGAACTCGTGATGTCCGTTGGGTGTATATTTTTTCCCGCCACGAAGCACTCGGGCGTCGTGAGATGCGTTTTTTCGACTGATCCGTTAGTGACCCGCAACCGATGCCCGTTTACGCTCCGACGCTACGTCATCCGCCAGCCGTTTGGCGTACATTTCTATCCGAGCGCGCGCGATCCCCGCGTCGGCGCGTACAATGAGCGGAATGGTCATCGAAACGTTACAAGCTGCTTAATTGACGCCGATCACGATGCAACAGGCGTGTATATTTATATAAATGTTTAAGTGCTAAGTGGGTTTTTTGTACCGCCGGCAGATGAGAGATTTATTACATTTTTTTTTTCATATTCAAGACCACCGAACGAACTGGGCGATGTTTGAGTTTAGACTGGGCCCCGCGTGCGATTGATTACCTCAGCTGCTAAAGTTAGAGCTGCCTCGATCATGCTTTGATCACGTATATGGCAGGCGCACACTATCGCGTCGTGGCTACGTGTTCGCGCCTAGTGTGTACTCGCCTTAACGGCTCAATCAAGCGGACTGCGCGGCTCTTTTTGTCCGTCTGGCCGCGGCTTTCTACCTAAAGATTTTCACTTAGCGGCCGCTACAATAGTGCAGAATGAGGCTAAGCGGCGCTCGTACATTTTCTATGGCACCGGTTCTTGGAATTCGAAACTGATTTGTTCGCATCTAGTGGGTTCGGGGTTTTTTCTGGTTCGGACACCGTCGCGTTGATATCGAGTGCCGAGGTGATCCGGGTACTAGAAAAAAGTGTTGTCTTTGTCTCGTCGAAGCTTCTAGCAGTTTCCATAAGTCGTTCTCTTTGCGATTTCGACTCTCCGATATTTATATCGAGCAAGTTGTACTACTCCACTTCGATGATGTAAAACGAAACTTCGAAAACTTATGTTATATTTCGTTTAACTAAAATCCATACCCTCGGTCGTGTAATGTCTAAAAATTAAACATTGAAATTAACGTACCAATAGTACCACAGTGTGGCTTTATTATTTTATTACTTGGATTAAATCAGATCTGATAATATCGGTGAAATAGTCATTGCTGGTAAATTTCAAGTAGAAATAGTATGCAGATTAAAAAGTAAAACAAAGTAAAGTAACTCTCCTCTCTGTATATATAACTGTCGTTTTCGTAAAAGTTTCGAGTTTAATAGACATCCCAGCCCATGAAGTAAGAGATGAGGATGGTAATAAAGCGACTTTTTTAACGGAGAGGTTTTTTACAGGATCTTTCCAGAGGTTGACCACCTCTCGAAATCGAGTTTATACACCGATCGAAAACCCTGCGATATGCTCACGGCTTCGAACCGAGGCGAGGCGATCAGCCGACCCGGCAAATAGTATAAGTAGTAATAAGTATTCGAATCATACCACGTATAACCCTGTCACTGTGCGGTTCAGTTTACAGCCGTCGGGGGACGATATTGAAACCTTTTCAAAAGACTCTATGTTCAATACAAATGCATTTCGACCTGAATGTAGCAGCAGTGAGCAAACTAGCGAGAATATACCCGGTTTTTTAGTGTTATCTTTTTATTATTATATATTTTTATGCCTCGTGGCATTATATCCGCGTTGAACTCTAGAATCTAGACTGATGGTAAGTTTGTCTCAGTCCCGGTTCGCTGTCGCCGGACCATGCAAATCAGAACGGTGTGATCGATAATCAAGCGGGCGAACAGTTCCCGGAACCGCCGCCAGTTCGTTGAGCTATAGTTATCCAAAATGGCGAGTGATCCAGTTTGCGTGCAGTACATTCTCGTGGCGACCGGAGGGGTTTGATCACAATTCGCCCCATATCAACCACTGACCGTTGCTTAGGGTTTCAAGAACTGATTAGTATCCGGCAGCAGGTATTCGCAGAGGTCTCGCCTTCTCCGAGCGGTTTGCCAAGGGCCAGACCCAGTGGTCGTTGCGAGTCACCGGGAGCACCGTTTAGTCGGGTGTAGGTAGTGCAAGGGTAGGCCCAAGAAGGCCACAGTCGCGCCGGGGTCGCACAGGATTGCGTCCATTCGCTCCCGTGTGAGTTGCAACGGATCCAGGTAAATCGTCGCCGTGTTCACGCGCCCGGGGCAACGGTAAACGGAGCGCTCTCCCGGGCCGCGTGCCCCCACGCTCCGTTAACCGGCGGCCCACGGCGGCCGGCAAAACATGCCGAGTCCACCGGGCACGCCACATTAATTCCAGCGCCACGCTCCAGCTCGTCGCGTGCGCCGCTACGGCCCGCCGTATAATTTCGCGGTCCCCTCTTCTCTTTCGCGTGCGGTGCCTTCGGGTAGCCGCAACTCGCGAGTGGACCCTAGTTTAAAAAAAAATAATAATGTGAAAAGTTGCCTAACTAGCAGACGGTTCGCCTGATGTTCAGTGAATACCGCCGCCCATGGACATCTGCTACACCCGAGGGTTACAGATGCGTTGACAACCTTTTGAAAATTGGGCTCCGGCTACCTCACTCACCAAACGAAACGCGAAAGTATTTGTCATTCTTCCACTTTACGCTGGTCTTCTGTGAGGTTGTGGTACTTACCCGGACGGGCCAGCCCATTCGTGCAACAGTAGAGGCTGCTGCGTGGCCCTACCAGAGTAACACCGTAGTCCATTGATATATCATGCCATGATAATACTATGCCCGGGTTCAGGGGCATCGGTGCGTATTTGGATCGCGGAACCAATCCCAACCACCGAGGTGATTTTACGTAGGCAACAACCCCCCATCTTGCTTTCTACGAAGAGCAACTGCCAGATTTAAACGGATGAAATGCATCACTACATAGTATAAAACAAAGTCGTCCCGCTGTCCGTCTGTTCCTATATATGCTTAGATCTTTGAAACTACGCAACGGATCTTGATGCGGTTTGTTTACCAGATAGAGTGATTCAAGGTTTATATGTATAATACATTGGCACCCGTGCAAAGCCGGGGCGGGTCGCTAGTAATTATAAACATAAATTTCCTAGATTATTCTGCTTGCCCTGCCCACACTTTCATAACCTTATTTATTTGAAGGTCACAGGCAGGTGCTTAGATTGTAACCGTACACCGTGCAAAAATGAGACGACGACGACTCTTGCAATGTCCAAGAGCCTGGTCCTTTCCGCCCATCAATTGGATACCTGACTATTTACATCGTCACCTATGGGTATGCTCTACTGCTTAACTGATTAAGTCTATACTCGGCGTTATATTATAATACATGCACATAACGCAATCCGACAGAGCCAATCCGCCACCATATTATCTGTTCCGCTGCGCATCGCCTAGGCCCTCACACAGGTGTTTTATAATTTAAGTCTCTTTCTTTTTTTGTAGATAATTTAGTTAAGTTTCTCATCTAAATAAAAGTAATGTTCTTTTGGGAAATTAATTCTTTAGACTTTATACTATTAAACCACTAGACTGACTACATTAACAGGCGAATAGACTAATAGTTTATGACTTTATTCAGTTTAGGTTCAATGATTACTTGCTTTTACTCTATAAATGTTACATTTTATAAACTACAGGATACCAATTATCTTATCCACCAATCTTCTTCTCTATTGAAATTTGGATGTAACTTAAGGACAGCGTACGTAAAGCATCGGCGGTTATTGAAATCAACAATTTGAAATCACATTTAAGACCAAGATTCGATAAACCTTCATCATCATCGTCATTACGGCCTGTTTGAGTCCACTGCTGAACATAGGCCTCCCCCACAGACTGCCATGAAGTACGATCCTGAGCCACCTGCATCCATCGACTTCCCGCACATTTGCACAGGTCGTCACTCCATCTAGTGAGGGGTCGTCCTACACTGCGATGGCCAGTATGAGGCTGCACTCGCGAACTTTTCTTCCCCAACGGTTATCGGTTCTACGAGCTATATGGCCAGCCCATCGCCACTTCAGCTTGCTAATCCTCTGAGCTATGTCGGTTACCTTGGTTCTACTGCGGATGTCTTCGTTACGAACTCTATCACGCACAGAAATACCGAGCATAGCCCGCTCCATAGCTCGCTGAGCGACTTTGAGCTTCCTCATACGGCCAGCAGTGAAGGACCACGTCTCGGTTCCGTAGGTCATCACTGGCAACACATATTGATTGAAGACTTTAGTCTTCAAACATTGAGGTATATTCTAATATATATTGATAAACCTTAAATACTTGCAACAAAGCACCGATTCCTCCCAAGGATGATCTCCTGTGCAATATTTAGACAAACTTAGCATTAGTTAATAAGGGGAAATGCAAGCGCAGAGCATTAATTATTTACTCACATATTGAGCCGAAACATTATCCATCTTATACGACCTTCTACTGAGTTGTGGAAGGGCCACGCAACAGATTTCTGACATGCAGACTGTTGCACGAATGGGCAGATCCCTCCGGGGAAGAACCACCACCCACAAAAGTCCGGCGTGCGGTGAATGTGTAATACTTCTACGTTTCGTCTGGTGTGTGAGGTAGCCGGGGACCACTTTATTAAAGTGGCATCGCACCTGCAATCCTCAGGTGTTGCCGATGCCAATGGGCGGTGGCTATCACTTAAAGCGGCTAATAAGCTCGCTTTCCACCTTCTCGCATAAAAAAAAACACCTGCATACTCTACTTCAGCGATTAAAATCAAGCGGGTCAGTAGCGAAGAATTAATCATGGATTAAAAAATAACGTAAAATACCACGGGTGTCACCTTTGCGACTTTATAGAAGACCTTTTATTAAGCTTGTGTGTGTACCACTTGCATACTAAGCGTTCACAACTACGTGGGACACGACCACATGTCTCCAGTTCATAAAAGAACTTTTTACTTAGCTTGTACGAGTATATTACATCTGATTACTATACTACAGCTATAATAGCCGCCAGGTGGGACATTAACGAGGAAAAAGGCAAAAAGGTGAATTAAAAATGTGTCACTTACCAGCGATCGCGTCGAGGGAAACGTTTTCTTGTTTGTTTTTACAATCAAGTCGACTCTATCTCCGCCCCGCGGGTGACGTAACCGGTGAGTTGCACCTACGAGGTCTTACGCCTGCGCGCCGCATAGCAAGTACCCAACTACGTGTCGCCGGTCGCTTTCATTATTGTTGCCATCGCGGCGAGCTTCCGATCGGTAATTTATATGCCTCTTATTATTTATTCATAAGCTTGGTCGACGAAATAGGGTCGCGGTTTCGGTTCCCGGTGGCCTGAGTTTATTGAAATTACAATAATGCTAATAATTAAGACGGCATGTTGTATTTACCGCACAATTTTAACTGTTATTATTTTCGCCACGTCATCATAATGATCTAAGATAATGTAATGAACTTATTACTTTTCTCAATCTTCACAACTTACAGTACCTTTTTGTAATTTTTTTTTTTCAAATAAATAAACGAAATCTGTTGATTTGGTCCAGTTTCTCGCGTCAACAATACGAGTTGTGGAGAGTCCGTGCGGGCAAGTCGACCCCTCTGTACGGACAATACATAACACAAGAGCAATTCACTGCCATCAGCATATGTTATGGTGCAACGCCAATCTGGCTAATCATGGCGATACGGCGTTATCAGTAGCCGGCGCCTCGCGGTTGCGCAACCGTTGTGAAATCGGATCGTGCGTGGCTTTTTACACGACGCCAACTCACTCTCTCTCAGTCCCAGGACTAACGAAACTGTGGTAGGGCCACGTGCAACAGTCATCGCTGTTGCACGAATGGGCAGGTCCGTCCGGGTAAGTACCACGGCCTGGACTGGCGTGAAATAGAAGTGTTACACTTCTGCGTTTCTTCTGGTGAGTGTGGTTGCCGTGGCGCACTTTAATAAATGGCTTCACAGGCCCTGGGGCCCGTTAACGTTACGTTAATTGACTTTCCTCCATATCTGAGTATGTAGCTTCATTAAAACTTATAAAACCAGTTATTTTTATTATTATTTATAATGAGAATTATAATATCATTTTTTATCAGTTATAATATAATTTCACAGATTACAATTATTTATATATTTATGATGAAGGAACGCAAAGTAAACTATGCATGGTAATCTCATAGAAGATATTTCATCATTCGCGGTTATTCCATTGATTTGTATACCGTATGCTTTGTCACCTTGGCCTATTTCGCTTAAACACATCCTTATCATATCATCAAAATAATAATTACAAGTGATGGCATAAAACACGACATTACTCAGCATAATTTTGGTAACATAAAGGTTATCACCAAAGGCGAAATAGGTTTCGAATATACGTGACGCAGGTTTGCATGGAGCAAACCTTCGTTATCGGTCATTAGAATCCTTGAATACTGGATTAAAAGTCACAACGGTTAACGGTTATTTTAATTTCGAAATGTGATAGAGTACGGACAGATGAAAAAGTGAGAAAGCCATAAAAAAAGAAGTAGAAAAAGAATAAATAATAAAGACAGTTTTACACAGTCGCATTAAGTGCTCCGAGCAGACAGGCCCGACGGGCCGGCCAACCTTTTTATCTCTAAAAATAGTAGCGTCTGAAATCGCAGACGCTCTCGCAACGAGTGCATCACTAAACGCTCTATTGAAACGCGATCGCAATGCATTATGGACCATCACTATCAGCAATAGAGCCGCAATTTCTTCGGCGATAGTTCAAGTAGAACGGCCCAGGCGGTCTCCGTCCCTATCGCGTTCGCAGCAGAGTCGATAATGGGTTAGCGGGTCGGCGTCGCAACGATATAGGTCGGAAAGTGTAGCGCCATTTATAGTACGACGGAGTACTATCGTAGTACTGTCGCTGTGTGAATGACGCGGCGATGCAACTCGGCGCCGGTCGTGGTGTGCGCGCATACGCGGCTATGTTTAATGAATGGCGCGCGCTTAGGGTTGCCGACCTTAGCGCCAGAGGTTGTGCTATACAGTTCTTCCTCTATATATCTGTTTAATCTGTTTTATCTGCAAAAAAATATGACGATCCATCTGGCGTAGTGGATGATGACCCTGTCTCTTGCGCAAGAGGATAGGTTCGATCCCCACCACTGGAAGAATATTGTGTTATGAACAGAATGTTTTTCTAGTGTCTGGGTGTTTATATATTTTTAATATGTATTTATTTCCAAAATTTATCTTATTTACAAAAGAAAAGTGCGTTTTTGTTGATCAGTTACCTAGTACAAGCTTTGCTTAGTTTGGAACTTGATGATTTTGTGTAAAAATATGTTCCGAAATATTTAGTTTTCCATCACGTCCGTCGAGGTCTGTCTATCATGTTTGGGAAACCAACCTTCATAGGCGGACTTAGAGCAACAATCAGTTAAAAACTAAATAAGCTCTTCATTTGATTTATATAATTTATTTTGATCAATTCTTCTAGTAACAGTTTTACATAACTTTAAGCTGTGGACTCCTGTAAATTAATTGTTTGCAACAAAACATTTTTTTTTATTGAGTACATATTTATAAAATTATTTTTTTTATCCCGCCCTTGCAAGTTGGCAACCCTACGCGCGTCCATCCGCTGCGGCGTCTGGGGATTGCGTTTTATCGATTCTGCGATGGACTGCATAAATTCAACTCGCCCGAGTTCCTGATTCACCCGCAACTAGGACCGACAGAACATTGGCCGAGATCATATCTGCTTCTTACTATTGTTAAAATAATCCCCTAACTGCCGCGGCATCGTCCGTGTGGCTTTTTACGCATGCATGTTGTTGCAACGCATAATGTGAGAGTAATTTTGCTGCTGTTTTAGGGGTAAAGCTTCTATTTTTGACGTTATACTTTTTTGGCACGTTGGAAAGAAATTATGAGCGTAAAATTTTTACAATGCGCACTCACCTACCTCCAAAAAGCGTTCATTATTGCCCTATCAATCCTATATTCAACGAATGGCCGTTAGTTACATAGCTTCGTAACTTTCATAACGACTTGTAGATAAAAGGCGTGTACGCCAGGTTCCTATATTAACAAACGAGGCGTTTTCCTTACGAGCCGTTGCATTACCTACGGAAAGTGAGTTACTATCGTTCCTTTAATCTACAAGTCGTTATGAAAGTTACGAAGCTATGTAACTAACGGCCGTTCGTTGAATATAGGAGCCGGGCATATGTCGTGTTATTACCATGACAACCAATGACAACTTTTTGATATACCTATAATCCCAAGCTATCAACAATAACCGTTATCCATTGCATTTAATGTCTTTTTCACAAACAAACGGTACTGGCACAGGGGAAAAGTTTTTAGGTTATTTTTCTTTTGTTACACTAAAGAAGGATAACTTGTTACGTGCGTACATAAGTAAAAATTAGATATTTTCATTGATAAATACTTATTAACACACTATTATACACTATACGGTAGTGTATGGTACGGTGACCGACCATAGTTACGTGCGAAAATTTCTCACGGGTCTCCTAGTTATTGTGTAATAATACAACCCTATATATACTACCTTACTAACGAGTGTTGTTTCTACGCAGGTAACTGCTTTCGGCGTCACTGCTGTCACCACTTCGACCACTTGCGGCAACGGTGAGTAGTAGCTCTCTATTACTTACATCTTATAGCTTCCGTTAGGCACGACAAAGGATTTCGATCCTAGCTGGTGAATCCTGGGGTTCAACTCGGTGAACAGTCCAATACTTGGGCTTAACACGACATCGCACGATTAGAAAACTTTAAATTATTTTTTTATTAAAACACTTGTTTGATTGGGAACAATTAATTTTGAAATCCACTGAATCTGCAAATATTTAGATTCCTTACTAAAATATCTTTTTAAATAAGGCCTGTGTAACTCAAATACCTGTAGTTATACTTAGCGAAATTCTTTCAGCGATTTCATAGTCATTATATAAGTCAATCTCATTAGGCGATGACACGCAATCGTTGCTTTCCTAACTGGGTCGTCCTATCCTAGATAAGAGCATTTTACTATGATTTTTCGTGATAACGTTTGTTCTGTCGGTGTTTTAAAAACAGTTTAGGGGAACTGTGGTAGTCACGGCCACGCAACAGTCTTTTCTGTTACACGAATGGAGTGCGTCTGAACCACGACCTCACAGAAGACCGGCGTGAAGTGGAAGTATAATACATTCGCGTTTCGTCTGATGAGTGAGGTAGCCGGGGCCCACTTTATTAAAAGGTGGCGTCGCATCTGTAACTCTACGTGTGTTACAAACGTTAACGGGCTGTCGCCAAACTGTCATAACACAAGTATAATGGCGAATATCTAGTTCAATTACCGATAGATTCATATACTGCTAATGTGTTTACTACCAAAATGATACACTAATTCTATACACATATACTATTCGGGGATATACCCCGCAGTGGCCTCCAACCTCCCCTATAGCCACCCCAAGCCTCGCTTTATACTGATTTAATCTGTGAACTGTTTCTGGTCCGATTTCCCCCTGTCCGCAGACAGTCAAGGATCTCTGATACTGATGCTGAGACTCATCTCAGTCTGATCTGTAACTACCGTCCGCAAACGGTCCGAGCGCCTCGGTTACTGAATCTTATCTGGTTACCACCGTCTACGACGGTCCGAGCGCCTCGGTTACTAAATACACTGCCTGATACATCTGATAAAAGATACACGGGTATGCAATATTACTGAACTGACTCGCCGACATAACTTCCGCACTACATTACTGATCTCTCCGACAACACACCGACTGATTGCCCTGAGGTGTCGTCCCATCACACTTTTATATCCGTCTTGCTACATTTCTACCCTCATTATGACAATTAATTATCTCCTAAAATATTCAACTACCCTTTTCGTGTATACAAATTAATAGCTGCTTCGCATTTGCGACACGGGCGGGGGTTAACATCGATAAAACAAGAGATTTTTTTTAAGTGAAAAGTTGTCAAACGAGCCGGCGGTTCACCTGATGTTAAATGAATGCCGCCGCCCATGGACGTCTACAACATCCGATGGCTTGGAGATGCGTATGGACCTTTTGGTAAAGTAGGCCCCGGATACCTCGCTCGACCACTACCAATTAAGGCCTATATTATAGAGTAAAAAATTACGTCTTAACAATAAAAATGTTTTGGAATAATTATTTACTTTCACCTTTTTGCTGTCTTCGTATTATCAAATCATTATTTATACCTAATTATATTTCCAACATTTGTCGCCTAATCGCCTAATGAATCTGTTGCTAAGTGAATTTTTTGTTAAACAGATTAAAGAAGTTAAACATTACCGATATATCTTAGGCAGAGGTGTCCATACTTTTTACCTTGAGGGCCGCGTCGGATACTCTATTCAATCCTTAACCTTACTTATATGTCTGCGGGCCGCTGCTTAACGCCCACTGACGTAGTATCGGCCGGCCGACGTAATCGGTGGATTTATTGCTTGATCAACCCATAACGCGATAAATTCCTCAGGACCACGTCGTGCATTGTTGGGCCGACGCTTCGCGGATTTTGTCAGCCGATAAAGAGTCAATGCCACGGTATTTTGGCTAGTGTACTGTTGTGAGTTTTAGGTCGAACGGAGGAGTTGGCTTAAAGATCTGCCTATGTGACTGGTTATCTTTATACATATAATTCTACTTTACGTGCGTATGTCATTGAACTCCTCCTAAACGGCTGGACCGATTTTAATGAAATTTTTGCGTTTTGGGTGGATTCAAGAATGGTTTAGATACACAAATTTATTAAAAAAATCAATATACCGTCATATGGTCGTTGACGACCCCTTTTCTTAGCCGGCCTTACTCGGCTAATGCTATCTTGATTCCACCCTATTGTTTGGATGGACATTTAGGACGATCTAAAGGGATCGTCCGTCGATGCTAAACGACCTAATTTCATTATGGCACCAATTTTGAACTCGTAAATTCAGCTTCGAAGCGTATTCAACACGTCAAAATAGACTACAATGGAATCTTTAGAGATAATATACCCCGTCTATAGAATGATGAAACTGCGACCCCGAAATAAATGAGGTCGACGGAGTTTTTTATATTCGTATTAAGCTTGAGCCACAGTCTATATGAGGGTTATTCCCGGTAATAGTTGGGTGTCCACTATCCCGGGTCCGCGAAGCTGAAGCACTGACGGACATTCATGGGTCTAGTCGCGCCGGTCACTCTGACCGTCTTTGACGAGCCCCAGTGCGTTGGCGTTCGCACGAAATGCGCGGCTCAACTTACGCCGGTCGTGGCCCTGCGGGGATTTGGAAATGGGGTGAATCGTCGCGATACGACTAGGAGTGGGCGAAATCGAGGCCATGACGAAACCGATTGATAACGTCCGCTTTGCTTATAAAAGATAAAGCGGAGGCCAATTGCTGTTGCCATGCGGCCTAGTACCGGCGGTGTATTGCCGTGGCTCGGTTTTTCGTTGAGACTAGCACATTAATACAAATACAAATTACTTTATTTCAAAAAAAAAAAACTTCTACATTTATGCCTTATGAATTGACCCCCACACTAGGCTGTTGCCTGTCCCGTGGGGGATAAATATTGCGATATACAACGCCGTCTTCCAGCTGGCGAACGAATCTATACACTAATCGATGATTGTATATGGTCCGTCCGGGGGAGTACCACGAACTCAAAGAAAACCTGCGTGTGATCGATGTCGAGTGTTACACTTCTGCGTTTCCTCTGGCTAGTGAGGTGACCGGGGCTCGCTTTATTAAAACGTGACAACGCATCAGGAACCCTAAATGTGTTGTAAATTTCCATGGGCGGCGGTTATCACATACCATCAGATTGAACGCCAGCTTGTGTTGCCACCTTCTCAAAAAAATTTTAAAATTTTTACCATCATCATCAAATAGCAGCCCTTAAATACTTTTACGTTTATATCGATAGCGATGTGCTCGTTTCCTCAATAAATGAAATCGCAAAAGCGCGTTTGAAATCTCCTGCCTAACGAACCTCTAGTTGTATATAATAGATGATAGCATAATTAGATACGGTGGCGCAAGCCGTCGCTAATATTACAATAGACCCGCGATCCCTTGTGGAAACCCGACGAAGCAGCCGGCAGCCGCTCGCCCCGTCCATGAATACCGATGAAAGACATTAGACGTTTCAATCACTCGCCCGCACTATGATCCGCGAAAATAAAACCGCGACGTCACAGCGGGTGAATTAATCTTACAGCCCCCCTCCCCCATCCTCCACCTCCCACTCCGTGGCCACATAACCACGCCTGACAGATTTGTTACGGTTTCGACGACATCGAATTGAGAGTTGTAGTGCTCCGGGTAACCGTTTTTTTATGTCTCTCCGATAATGCAGTTCGTGGTGTTAACATGGCCGATGCGCCATGCTTCGATACAATAGACGATGACTCGACGATATTGCGGCCGCTTCGTAATCTATGTCTTCTTTTTTTTTAAATCTATGGGCTTCTCGGTCTCGGTGAGATTGTAAATGCGCTGTCGATCCTTACAATTTCGGCCCTCTAATAAGCTCACCCGCAACGAAATATTAAAGTTTAAATTTACAGCAGGACATCAAGTCGGTCTTGTCAAGCCACCTCCTTTCGTGCTTTACATCAGAGGCCGCTGTGTGGCTCTACGAACGTATTTCTTCGCCCATGATTTATGAATTATGGCGCGGGATCCCCAATTATTATTATTTGATTTCTTCCTTTCTTCAGTCTTAGTTCTATTTCACCAAGGAAAGATATCTGCCAATTAGAATCGCTCTCATTTTACGACACGACTGTTCACATCGATGCGGGAGCCAGATATCGGATCGAACTCGTCTGCGATTCGTTTGTTATTCGTGGATTAACTTTCCCGTGTACGCGTTGGTTGCAGATACAAAGCGACGCGGTGCCGGGCCATCGTATGCTTCGGCCGGCCCACCAATCGCCGCGCTGAGCCGAGCAGGCCGCTTTGCGGAGCGGACGCATACGGAACCACGGAATCCTAGCGGCACCTCGAACTGCGCGGGCGTGCAGTGCGGACCCCCACTGGGACCATGCATCGACAATGCTCTCGGCATCACCATCTCAACGCACCAGTGACAGTCCCTACTGCAGCGTGCGCGGCTCTTAGGATATCACGTCCGTTTCGCGAGGCGGTTCTCCTTGCCGCGGCGGAACGCTGTCCTATCTGATTGCTATCTCTCGCTCTAAGGGCCCAGAGGAAATTGTCAAAACGACACTGACGTAATCAACCCATCGCACCGTTCGATGAACTAATTCTACTGACAATCGCAGCGTTTTCTCACTTTTCTCTGGTACCCCGTTCGGCCCACGATGTAACAATGTTCGTGTTTGTCTTCGAGTCCCGTCTTTACTCGTTCCGTCTTCGAGTGTTCGTTTTAATTGTTTTGAATATTGCTGACTAACAAATACTAAACATTCTAACGCATGACTATTTGGTTATTTTTCAATTTTACAATATCAACTCGCGAGTATGCATGACTTTACATCACTTAATTTAATGTTGTTGTTTTTTCCTAATAATTAAGTGTTTTGTTTTATTCGTTTGTTGATAGACAATTTTGCCTCGTTGACTTATATTATGTTTAATTTTTATATTATTTGATTTAATTATATAATTACAATGATTATGAAATGTTTACTTCAACAATTCTTCGAGATTTATGTGAATCATATAAATTATTAACATCAATTATAAATTGTCGTACGCCTTGCTGTATAAAACTTGATTTTAGGTAAATAAAAAAAATATAGTTTTAAACGTACTTAAATTCGAGTTTTAGTCCTTTGCATGGCAATTACCCGGGGATTGCATTCTAGTTTTTTTAATTGTGAAAAATTTTGATTATGCAATCTGTTTCTTTTCATCGCATAGATGAGATATTGTATAATAATCTTACGGTTCCCTACGATTACAATTGATCAATAAATAATTTCCGAATGGCGATGACTGTTTCATTCGGTTCTCGCGGGCCGAGAAGATGTTCCCACAGTGTTTGCATGTCTCGCGGCCGTTGAATGGGCTGCTCGGAGGTCGGGCCTAAAGTAATTTTTCAATTAATACAATGTCATCGGGACGGCGCGACCTCCGCGGCGGCTGGCGATTGGCAACCCACGGGCCGACTTTGCTCCTTAACCACAACGCGATAAAGGCTAGTTTCGCATGCGGAGAGCGGCGAATGTTGTAAAGAAGCGTTCATTATATACATATCTTGTATATGGGTAAATTTGTACAGTTGGCGCGAAATTATGCCGCACTCATTTTTGGGTATGGCTCCGTTGGCGTGGATTAAAATTGAATGAGATCTTTGAATTATTGCCCTCATTGTTTATTCCAACGCTGATATTCTCGAGTGTCCGAATTCCGTACCAAATTGTACTCAAATATAGGACATATATGATACATATTTACATATCAAAGAGAAATCATGATTTCTTCATTTTATTACGGCCACGCAACAGTCTTCGCTGTTGCACGTATGGGTAGGTCCGTCCGGTTAAGTACTAAACGTCACAGCACAGAAGACCAGCCTGAAATGGAAGTATCATACTTCTATGTTTCGTCTGGTGAGTGAGGTAGCCGTGGCTCAATTTTAATAAGGTGGCAACCCAACTGCAACCCTGCGGGTGTTGCAAATGTGGCGGCAGTTGTAACTTAACATCAGATGAACCGTCAGCTCGTTTTTGATGTTCTCGTAAAAAAAAAATATCCATACATGATTCGGTTTTATAAAATCATTTTATAAATATCAGAAACAAATAGGTGAAACTTCTAAAAACGGTTTCGTAATGGTTGTAGTATAAAAAATTCTAAACAAACAGACTGTTGCTTTGTGTATAAAACGCAGAATTGTAAAAGTACGTGGAGTATTTATTTATTGCCAAAGTAAATGCTGAAGTGGGTTATCCGAGAACAATGCTGATAAAGATTAAAATATGGATTGGTGGATTTCTTTTCAGCAAAAACCTGTCACATAATAAATTGTAGTTGTAACCAGTTCTTTTTATTACGAAAAACAAAACCGAAATCAATTCGAAATCAAACCAAAAATTCAAATCTCGCTCAGTATTCATTTTGTAAATAATTTTCACGAGTTATCTAATTATCTCCGGAGCCCAAGATCCAATCAACTCCAATAAAATTAATATGGGACACATGGGAAGGAGTAGGCTTCAAATAAAAAAAGAATCATCAAAATCGGTCCTCCCACTCGAAAGTTATGAGGTAAGAAACAAAAAAAATACAGTCGAATTGAGGACCTCGTTTTGAAGTCGGTCGACAAAAAGGGACCTATTTATATAAGTTTGTAATTTTTTTATCAATTCAAAACTTCGCGGAAGTGAGTGCAGCAAGCCACCGAAGCTTTGTCGCTTGTTTCATTATGAGAAAATGTTGCGTCGACAAGGAGCCGCGATTCATGTGATTTCAAGCGAGTACTTTGGCCGATAAGCACTTAAAATTACAGAACCGTTAACAGGTTAGGTTATGGTTGGAAGTCTAATAAATAAAATACTGCAAGACATACTTTTACACAAATATTCTAGTCCCGAGCTAAACAAAACTTATACTCTGTACTATGGTACGGTACGGTCTCGGCATTATGTTACTGATAAGCACTTGAACAAATTTTCGTTTTAAATCACCATCATTTCAGCGTGTTTGCTTCCACTGCTGAACGTATGGCCCCAAAGATCGCCACGATGCACATGATCGTGCGTGCATCTGACTCTCCATCCATCGACTTCCCGCACACTTGCACAGGTCGTCACTAATCTCCCCAGTACTATACGAAGGATATATCCTTATAGAACCGACAAACGAACAAAAAACCATTAATCAATTACGACACGTCCAAAGCAGTGTTTTTATAGAACAAATAGAACATTTTTGTAAATAGGGTCATGCAGCAACTTCTGCTGTCTCTCGCGTGGGCACACTCGTCCGGGTAAGTACCACGACCTCACAGAAGACCGGCGTAAAGTGGAATTATGATAAATACTTTCGCGTTTTGTCTGGTGAGTGAGGTGGCCGGAGCCTAATTTTCACAATGTTGTCAACGCATCTGCAACCCTCGGATGTAGCTGATGTCCATGGGCGGAGGTATTCACTTAACATGAGGTGAACCGCCTGCTCGCTTGCCAACTTTTCACCACAACTTTTTGCCACAACCTCGTGGAAGCCATGTTCTAGTCTCAGTACAGAGGAGGCCTTTGCCCAGCCGTGGGACATGTCTAGGCTGATACTTTACTTTTTTTTAGTCGTGGCTGGACACACAACGACGCCTGTGAGCCGGAGCAATTTCGACAGTAATTCTTGCAATGACGTTATCGCCCGCCACTTTCTCAGGTCCTACATGTCGCTCAATACGTTTACCGATTTTTTTTCTGTCTATTTGCAGGTAATGTTCAATCAAATCTTGGTACGACACGGTATTCTAAACAAATGATTTGTTGTTACGAAACTCAAGTAAAAAAAAAAATATGTGTGTATGTGCGCTCGTAAGTAGTTATACTTTTTTACCCGACTGCGCCAGAAGGAGGGTTATGTTTTTCGAGAGTATTTATGTATCACTACATAGTCTAAAACAAAGTCATCTCGCTGTCTGTCCGTCCTAATGTATGCTTAGATCTTTAAAACTACGCAACAGATCTTGATGCGGTTTTTACAGCGGTAGAGTGATTCAAGACGAAGGCTTTTTTGTATAATACATTGTAGGTACCCGTGCGAAGCTGGGACGGATGGCTAGTGTATGTATAATTGTATGGCACGTAGCCTGAACGACTTGTTGGATTTTAGCTTGAGAGGTGTCGTTAGATTCGTATTTACTGTGAGAATGACACTGGGTTTATCAAAATAAAATATTACAAAACTCAGTAGAGTTCATAGCCTAATCTATGTTTACTTATTATGTGAATATGTAAAAATGTTTTTGTATCTAAAAATTAAAAATATACTTAACTGGTCGACGTACTATGCAAATGCTTTCGATATCGCTGGTGCTTAATTTTTGGAACATATTTATGGGGATCGTGGTATAATTTTATTACTTTATGTAGATAAATAGGAATATATTTCTCAAAAGTTTTTGTCTTAGCCTCTTTAATTAGCCATTAATATTCCAGAAAGCTTTTCTTAGACGTCCATTCCATCTTGTTTATTCTACAGGCTGAACAATGTGATGTCATGCGTTATACACGCATATGGAGCGCATACTTACTCAAATTTATTACCGTTCATTTGAAATTGTTCTGAATAATTTTAAAAAACACATTTTTAAAAATAAAACTGTGTTGGGGCCACGCAGCAGTCTCTGCTGTTTGACGAATGGCCAGGCTCCTCCGGTTAAGTACCGCAATATCACAGAAGACCGACGTGAAATGGCCACCAGCACCACTATCAAAAGGTGGCAACGCATCTGCAACACTACGGACGTTGCAGATGTCCATGAGCGGCAATTATCTTGTGATAGCCTAAGATGTCGTCATCCGGTGAACCACCGGCTCACTTGCATCCTTCTCACATGAAAGTAAAGGTAAAGTAACAGCCTGAACGTGTCCCACTGCTGGGCAAAGGCCTCCTCTATATAGAGGGTATCAGGGCATAGTCCACCACGCGGACCCACTGCGGATTGGCAGACTTCACATTTATTCGAAATATTTTTTTTGCTAATATTTCGAAAACACGCAGGCTGAGCACGTGATAAGTCTAAACTTAAAATTAACAATTTCATCAATGTCGGCACCGGGGATCGAGCTTAGATTGCTCGAGTATTGTATTAAAGTCGAGCGCCCGGACGCTGAGCTATTGCGGCTCACATAAAATAAATAAATAATTACAAAACATCTCGTTCATTCATGACATATTGCCAACGCAGTGGTCTCCGTCTCATCCAGTTGGCAATATTAGGTACCTTCGCAGTCGACGGGTTATTCTTGACATATTGCCAACGTAGAGGTCTCCGTCTCATCCAGTTTGGCCACAACAGGGGCCTTCAAAGTGGATGGGACGTCAGTTCGGCTGTCGCGTGCTCCGCCGAAATCGCCCGTCGGTACAACTGCGTCGGATCGGCGAACTGGATCTATCACGCTTGCACCGCCGCACTCTGGGCCCGTCGAAAGTGCGCACGGATAAATAAGAGCGGCCTTACATGTTTTCGCGTTTGCGAAACCCCCCCTCTACGCGCCCGACTTAATTGGGTTGGCGGCACTTGAGACGGGGCGGCACCCCACTGCGAGCTGTGCTATGCCGGGCGGTTCGATTGCGATCTCGCAGCAGTTCGCGTAAATCCATCGCTTTATCGCTACAATTAAACGCTCGCTGTCCAATGTTTGAGGCGACTCGTGCGATATTGAAAGCCGTTACGCTTCAATCGGGCTCAAATTTTTATGTCGACTATATATATAATTCCGTTTAAGAGGCTTGATATCTTCATACATTTTTATCGCACTGTTATGTCAGCGTAAAATATTTTGGGTTCGATAAAATCGTTTTAGAAAATGTTAATGTTATGGCGTACCATACGTAAATGTACGCCGCAGTAAAAGCAATCGTCGATACGACGATTCGAATTATTTACAGTTTATTTGAGAATAGACAGGAAATATTGAGGTTTTTCTTTAGTGGAAAACGGATCATGATTTATTTAGGACAAGTGGGTTACATTAAAGTCTATTAATACTAGTTTTTATTTATTTATCTTTCGAATTAAATGGATTACATTTTCCTCTTATGTTTATCCGCAAATAATAAGTGCCTATATAGTAAATTTCATTCAAAGCCGTTGCAACTTGCAGGGCGCCTTCTTTAAAAGTTTTCTTCAATTGAATGTGAAGTTCAGTCCGGATAAGTACCACGACCTCAAAGAAGTTTAAGTATTATGCTTCTGCGTTTCTCTGTTGAGTGAGGTAGCCGGGGCCCACTTTCTTCAAAGGTGGCAACGCGTCTGCAACCAACCATACGGTTGTTGCAAATGTCAATGGGCGGTGGTCATCACTTTATATCAGGTGAACGCCTGCTCGCTTCCCACCTTTTCACATAAAAAGAAAACTTTTCCGTTTCTATAACTAACGCAATTTGTAACTAGACTTTTTTTTTCGGTATCGGGGCGGAATCTTCGAAAGATACCCTGTCACTTTATATGACAGGGTTATGTGGGGTTCTTACCCACTAAAACCCCCTTGGTGGCCGCCTTCCGTACATTTGGAGGGACTCCGGGATCTCCCATGGTACGCACCGGTGTCCCTCGGTACTACGCCTGAGCACGCCTCGGAGAAGGATAAACCTTCTCCGATTCCCTCACCCTCTTGCAGCAGCACGAGACCACTTCGTGCTGCTTCAAGACTGCCCATCTGTGTCCCCTTTTAGTCGCCTTTTACGATAGGCTACCTTGGCCCTATTCTATGAGCCCGGGACTATAGGGCTGCGGGACTATAGGAAGTCCGCGTAGAGACTATACTAGTCTTGCCAATCGCTCACATATAGCTCAGCTCCCTCGGGTGCCACCGCTTGGCGGCGTGCAACGCGGATTCGGGCGTGACGCACACGTTACGAGAAGATTAATTTATAACGATTGTGATTTTACTAAGTGATACGAGCCAATTGATATTTGCCCGTTTTCTTATCGCTTAATACATTCGGCCGCCACGATGCGCTCTTGGTGAAATCAAAGGCGTCCACCGTTTTTAGGGTTCCGTACGCAAAGGGAAAATAAATAGGATCCCTATTATTAAGAATCCGCTGTCCGTCTGTCACCAGGCTCTATCTCATGAACTGTGATCGTTAGACGATTGAAATTTTCACTGATAGTATAGCCGCTAAAACAAGAATTACTAAAATACAAAATAAAAAATAGTTAATTGGAGCTCACATACATAACATATGATTTTTTGCCGTTTTTATAGATACGGAACCCTTCGAGCGCGGGTCCGAAACGTATTTGGCCGGTTTTTCGTTCAACTAAAACTAGTTGTTGTTAATTTTAGGTTATACTGAACTCCGATCTGTATTACATGGATGCATGGTCATTCCTTATAATTAGGTTCTTAACTGCTTTCATATTCTAAATTATATCTTTCGGTGTTAGTTATTATTCTTTCTCATTGATTTTGAAAAGCACAATCTCTTTGTTATTTTGATAATGTTGATTTACATTTCGTACAATAAACTTTATGGAAAAAAATATCGCGTGTTGGCTTTTCAGTTCCTATCTCAAGTAGAATGGTAAGGGAAACGCTCTTGTCAAACCACACCCCGTTATTACATATACTGCAAAAGTATCAGTCATCAAGAATTGCATGATGTAACATTGCCTGCACTTGTATCATATACGCAATAAACGACAAATGTGACAGGCAGTCTTACCAGTACCACAGTACCATTTCACAAATATATTTAAATCTTACTAACGCACTTACCCGGCTTCGTACGCGTGAAAAGTTACCTTGCATTTTCCAAATTACGTAAATGATTATATGCAAAAATAAATATGTGTATAACGCACGTTTGCAATTAAATAAATTAATAACATACGTTGCTGAAAAAATTTTATACTTTATAATTTGGTCATCTTAATCGACAAAAACTGATATTTATATCTTAGATATATTGACATGAATGTATTATCATACTCCGTATCACGCTAAGATCTAGAATCAGTTCAGTTCTACGATTTAAACATTAACCATACGCAAACAAACAAATGTCAACACTGCGATATTAATGCAGAAATACGAACCAACAGCCGGTCCGGTCAACATTCATCACAATCCGGACCCGTTTGAACGCCCCGCCGCGGCCGTAAAGTTGGCGGGTCGGCTAATGTCAGACGGAGCCGCGGGGCACTACTAGCGGCCGTCCAGCTGCCGACTCGGGTGACGGAGAAAGCGGATGGGTCACAATGCTCGGATCTAATCCATCAGGGCGTCGGCGCCTTTCTCCTCTCGGTGTGCCTGTGGAGGAGATTATACAGATGTCACGCCGTGAGTGACACCGTACGCTCGTGTTCCCATAAGTTCACTGCAATGATGGACACGAAAGAGCCGCGGTAGCTCAGTGTCCGCATTGACTACATTGTTCCGGTGCACTCGAAGTTCAAATACGGCGCGACTTTTTTAATAATCGCCCGAGAAGAATATCGCCGGGAGGAATGATAAGTACAAAACTACATAACTATGACAGACAAAAATGCACATATTTAGGCACATAACTATAAATATTGTCCATTAATAATGAATTAATTCATGGTCGGAAGCCTCCAATCTGTGGGACAGGGTGTGCGTTTGATAAAATCAGCTCGGATGTTGCTTTCTCCAAATTCAATGAAATTGAAACGCATTTTTTATCAGATGGTTATATATTTGTATAATTCATTAAATCAACAACTCCCACGCAACTAATCGATCTTGGTGACGGCAGAGTAACAAGAGTTGACTCTTTGACTCGTGTGCGCGCCCACTAGAGATCATTTTGGACATAGTGATTTTGAAGGTCAAATCAAGGCTCACGGGGAATAACCCACAGCGTGAACTCAGAAATACCGCTGATATTCCAGCATGGTGCGTAAACCCTATACTATTATTATCAGAAAAGGAAATCATCTACGTGCCATTATTAAAATATTACGCTGCGAAAGACAAACAAATTGCCGCCTAAATTACACGTGACGGGTGTATGTAATTAAGGTATGTCTAGTCTATAGTTAGGCGGGAATTAAATGAAAATAGCATAGACATTTTCTTTTCATTTTTTTAATAATGAAAAAACCTTTAAAGGGTTTATCACGTATGTTTTTAAAGTCCTTGACTAAAAAATTGTTATATCATTGTATTTTTATATTTATAAGTAACTTCATACGTTTAATATTGCGGTAAAATATTACGTAATTATTGTACTACTATTTTTCTAGTGTACCCATTAATAGGCACATTGTTTATATTCCGTTGTAAGTTTGATATTAAGTATATGTGTGATATTCCATTGTGATAATGTAATATAACATATACAAATAATTTTGTGCATGATGTTAATGCCGCAGGCATGTGGTGACTATCTTATCGTGTAGTTCAGTTTACAAGTCGACTTAGTAAAAGTCAACCACCACTACAACACCAGAGGGCTTATATTTGTTGCCGGCCTTTTAGGAAAAAGTATGCTCTCTTCTTGAAGGTTCCCAGGTCGTAACGGTTTAAGATGGAGGTCTCGAAGCGTCATTTGCCGCCCAAACTGGATACATTTAATGTGAAATATCTCGTTTGCCGCTGTTTCCCATAAAAAAATAAGAAAACAAACATACGTCACGTCGTCGCGTGACACCGCCACTGCTCGCCAATTTTGAATTGTGACCGTCAACGCGACGTGAACGCATCAACGGCCCCATAACGAGTTCCAGCTGCCTAATTGTACAATATATCATTCGTTTCACTTAGTAAGTTTACGGCCGGGCGTTTCGGGTGGTAATTAAGCGTAGCCGGTGGCTTTTTGTTTGGTTTTGTACCGATTTTGTGTCCATTAGCGGTGCAGGGAATCCACCGCGTAGTCTTATCACACCAATCGTATATTATAATGTGAACGGAAGAGCGTCACGATAGATATCCAAAGCCGAAGTGGTCGAGTGCGTTGCCCGACGCTCAATCCGGATCCCGAAAGACGCAAGTTAGAATCCTCGTAGTGGTTCGATCTTGCTACAGTTTTGTCCACACGTCTTGTTCCATCTAAGTGCACAATAATTTAATTCTATCCGTGATACGCCAGTTTTTGAACAAACACACAAAAAACACTTTACTAACACACAATAAGAGTTTTTTGTGTGTTAGTAACCAAATCACTCGATTATCTTACGTGAGTGGTGATGCAAACAAACAAAATAAACTAACAAACAAACTCAATGTAATGATTCAATCCCATTCGAGCGTGTTTCTTTGGGCCGATAACTTAATACGCTTCCTGGTAGCGGGTGACCGGTCCACTCGGCGATTTCGCCAAATGGGGCCCGAGAGACGCGATTCGGCGAATTTTTTTGCCACTCACGAATTATACTCTGCTTTATTTAATTAGCAAGAGCCGGTCGGGTCTCGCCGCAAATTCAAAAGTTACCGTTTTGATTTATCGCGTTTATGTAATATATATGTGTGTTTGTTTTTGATCCGTGCTTATATTTCATATACTAATTCTTTATCGAAGTAAAACTTCTTTAGGCACGCTTCACTTGGTTAGTAAGCTGGTGAATGAGCGACGAGAGCGTTACGAAAAGTGTGATCGGCGTTACGAAATGTGTGATGTTACGCGAACGGTGATTTCTTGATTATTTCGTAATTTCATTTCGTTATTGACCAATTTTATAAATTAATATTTTCTTCAATACATCAAATATTCTACGTTCAATGTGAATGAAATTGTAAATTCATACAGATTACATATAGATAGAGCTAAAAAAGTTTTACTTCGGTTGTGAGGTTTTAGATTGCACTATTTTTTTTTTTTTTTACAAGAAATAATACATCCTGTAAACTCAAATACTTTACGCCGCTTCATTTTTATTACTGACAAAGACGGCCAGCGCGGTCACCGATGTTCACTCACTTATATTAGTACCTACCTACTGTGTTAACAGTTATTCTTAAAAATTTGTTAGTTTAATTTTTGTTTTTAGTTGTTCTATTCTCAGCACTCAATATGAAACTTTACATTGTAATTTTTTGTAGATAATACAGTGTAGAAATGAACAAAACCCGGCCTAGTGCGAGTGCGACTCCGTACCATTATCTATAAAACGGCAAATATATGTTATTCGGCATATCTGTTGTATGGGAGCCGCAATTAATTTTTTCCCGTGTTTTGTATTTGTTGTTATAGTGGCAACAAAATATATCATCTGTGAAAATTTCAACTGTCTACCTATCACGGTTCATGAGATACAGCCTGGTAAGTGACGGATAGACAGACAGACAGACGTTTTACCCTCTGGGTACGGAATCCTATAGTCTCTCGGCGCCGTGGGATTCGAACCGGCGTCTTGTGGTTTCAAGCCCTTTACCAATAAAGCTAAGCGGCCGAACCTTACGGCGCGAAAAGCTTGACATCAATCTACGTTCGTTCTATTGCATTTTTAGCAATGCCTGATCTAGTTTGCATTTTTACGGCGTACAACACCTTACAAATAACATTCAACGATGAATATTTGTAACGAGAGATGTCGCCATTTGATTTTTTTTTCATTTATTTACAAAATTTACAATTTAAAAATTCTTAAGTTACCTTTTTTCAATGCTACTCATCTTGTTATGTCAAATGCTAATCTGTTTTTAAGGGCAAGTTACAATGTACAGATACATACTTAAATAGTAATAACTCTATATTCATATCAGTTTAAGTATTAAACTGGGTTTTCTTATACAAATAAATAATAAATTAATTTTGGCGCCAAAAATCCGTCAAAAATTCTTTTAGTATTTTAATATACCTAGCGATATTTGCGCAATAAAGATAAAACTAACAACATATCAGTCAACAAAGTATGTACAGACGGTTAATAGTGAGCGAAAATAAAAAACTATCATACATACAAATCAAACACAGTCATAAGTATCCTTTTTCGGATTCGCCAAAGTATGGTAAAAAGTCAAGATATTCTGTATAGTTATTGAAGTTTATTATCTTTATTAATATATGCATTTATGTTGCAATTAACACGATTCCGAAATAATAACCCTAATAATAATAATTGTCACTTTTTTACTTTTGTTTACATTCTATAATTAATACACATCTGCTTCGTCCCTTCTACACCCATATATGCCCTTTGTACGTTACTTCTCCGCCGTTCTTCCAATAAATGTTCTACGGAAAAAAAACGAAAAGATTGTCGCCGCTGTGGGAATCGAACCCACGTCTTCGGCATTCGCGGCCTGACGCTCTAGCCACTGAGCTAAACGGCTGATAGCCACAGCGACGAAAATCTTAACGCCTTCTTTCTACATTGTTATTTAGACACTTGCGTTTTAGACACTTTAGTTTCTTTATACACTTGCGCCCCATAATTATTGTTATCACCGTATAACTCCAATAGACTAAAGACAGTGTACCAAGCCAATAGACTAAAGACAGCGTATCTGATGTCATTGAACCCAACCCGAAAGACACAAATCAATTTTAATCAGCATTCAAGGCGACACACTAGCCAGTTTATGATAAGAGAACGCGACCAAATCACATGGTAATGAGAGAGGGCGACTATGGAACATTCTAGAAAAGAAGAAGATTGAATACCACTGATATTAAAGTGTATCGATAGCTTTTGCAATTACTACCAGTTGAGTTATAGTTGTTTGCTCAAAATAGAGTTCGTTTAACTTATCTTAAAGGTGTATGAAATGTTGATTTTGTATACGTTGTTACTATGGTAGGGCCACGCAACAGTTTTCACTGTTGCACGAATGGGCAAGTCCGTCCGGGTGAATACCGCGATCTCACAGAAGACCGGCGTAAAGTAGAAGTGTTTCTTCTGCGTTTCGTTTGGTGAGTGAGGTAGCCGGGGCCCACTTTATTTTGTGGTGGCAAGTATAAGCAATCTCCAATCTGGATCCCATTCAAATCGGGTTAATATGGCGCATGCAGAACTGTCGCATTTATAAAGATACCTTCGTCGAGGCTTCTTGACAGGTCCGCTATACAGTGGAAAGTAATCTATGCGGTACAGTAACAAAACAAGTGGGCGGCTTTCCGAAGCATTGTTCTTTATCGGCGCATACCATTTGATTCTAACTGGCACAGTGGCTGACATACTTTACCAGAGCACGTTGGTTCAAATCCCGCCGGCTCTATACGGTTTCTTATCCAGCAAATCGTCCCGCCATACATTGTGTTTTGCGGCAGGGTCCTCAACGTTCAATTTCGACGCTTTAGAACATTTCGGACATATAACATACATGTTTTGTTTAGGTGTTAAAGAATGTTACGGAACCCTTCGAGCGCGAGTTTGACTCGCACTTGGCCGGTTTTCACTTTATTATCGTTGCAAAGCAAAACTGACGCGTCACTTACGACTTGT